TGGCAAGAGCGTCTGAATGTTTGCTCGGTTCTGGATCTCGCACGTTTATTCTCATTTCTACGTGTCCCTCTATCCCTCTAGTAAGCCTGGATCGAAAGCTTCATACTACTATGTACGCAAACGAAAGTTCCTCGGGTGGCGACGGAATAACCAGCTCCATCTCGCTCCTTGTCCTCTCCTTAGGAACCACGACTTTGCCGTCTGCTTCGAGATACTCTATGTACCAAAGGAGACTCTTTTTTACGTATTTCAGAATCTCCTGTTTGGTGCGTCCGACAACCAAGTATCCAGGAACGTCGGGCATAAGAGCGCAGATTGAGCCCGTCTCTTGGTCGCCTTCAATGACTATCAGGAACTTGCGCTTGTCTCGAGGTGGTTTTTCCGGTGAGAGAGAGCTGGTGTCAGACGCTTCGGAAACGGGGGTCGATTGTGGGCGAGGCGGGGCGATGGCTGATCGTTCCAACTGGAAGACCGAAAAAAAACTTTCCAAGCTTAGGTTTCGACGTTGCAGACTGCTGGAAGAGCACTGACATGTCCGAGTCATCGTCGAGCCGCTAAATTCTGACGCGTCTGGCTTTCAGGATCTATGTTGTGTATCTCACTTCCTCATCTCGTCCTTCGACCTTGCAACCACTTATATTGGCCTATAAAGACACGTGATTGATGAAGGAACTCGTGCCACGATTCTCCGGAGAATCTAGAAACAAACCGTTGTAAGTCGAACGCATCAATAGATGACAAACAAAACCAGGAGCAGATGTCAGTTTCACATCATGATAGATCCATCCGGGCATCTGCGTCCTGGGTGGAAAGACGGAGTGTTACCTCTATTGTCAGAAGCACCATGGCTGCTCCCTCGTCCTTAATTGGTGAACGTGTCAGATGCGGGCTTATTTGCCTTCTTGAGTTTGGGTCTGCACAAAGTGAACACTCTCCGTCAGGTGTGATTGTACCCCAACCGGACGGAAGAGATTGTGCGGCCCTGCCTGAGCCCCGAAATGTGGACGGTGGCGCCGAGGGTGGACGACTGGAGAGTGGTTAGCAACGTGTCAGACCTCCCGGCCAAACCCCTGGCCCACATCTATTCCAGAACAAAAAGCTGATTTCCTCATCCTTTGATCCACCCCCCTCCTTGGAGAACGTCCTGCTATTTGCAATCAACCGAAGCTGCATTCCATGGGTCCTCCATTTTCGTACTGACCCGGAGTTGTAAAGCAGTGAAAATTAGGCTGCAACCCTTGTTCCTGAAGAGAGTTTCTGTGATACGTGC